TTACCTTAAAAAAAAATTGTTAGGATAGAGAATAAAGGTATATATTCAGAAATGAATGTGATGTAAAAACAGGTATCAAAAATAAGAAAAATCTTTAAAGACTAAATTTAATAGGGACAAATGTAGGTCATAAATGGGTTCAAAAAATCATTTTCACAAGTACAAAATGGAGGGTGCATGAAAAGAGCAATTCCTCTTTAAAAGATCTGGGATTTTGTAAGCTTGAATGAGTCAACAGGTTAATATGGCAGCCAGAAAAAGCAAATGCGACCTGAAGTTGCACTAACAGGCAGTGTACAGGCCTAGAAGGGCAAAAGTCTAGGGATACCAACCCTTGAATCAGACTGTAGCTGAAGTAGTGTACAATGTTCTAGGTGCTGCATTTTTGCAGATTGCTTGACAATATAATCCAGGGAAAGGCAACCAGGATGGTTAAGCCTTGAGATCATATGCAATATGAGGACTGGTTGAAAGAATTTGGGATGTTTTAAGACTGAGAAGAGAAAAAAACTCCTGGAAATAGTTTTCTTCAAGTATTTAAAGAGTTGTTCCATGAAAGAGGGAATTAATATATAATAACAGACAACATTGGTATAGCACTTTAAAGTTTGCAAAGCCATTTGCAAACATTATCTCATGTTCACACATTATGTCAATTGGACTCTGCTTGGCTCCAGAAAGCAGAATTAGGAGCAAATAAGTGGAAGGGTTGTAGAGAAGTACACTTTAGGCTTAATATAAGAAAAACCCATTTAACACTTAAGAGCCATCCAAAAAGAAATTAGTCTACTTGGGTAAATAATGGATCCTTCCTCACTAGAGAGTTAAAACAAAAAAAACTGGATGTCTACTTGTCTATCATAGAGGGGAGTTCTTATTCAAGCAATAGGTTGGACAAAATGGCCTCAGAAATCCCTTCCAACCCTGAAATTCTTTCCCTGTAGGGCAGGTATATAACTGTCCCAACTGACAAGCCAAGGCTTAGCAAAATGTTGGCTCCAACGGCCAAAAGGATGCTCAATTCAACTTCCTGGCTATAGGACAAGAATGGCTCTCACTCAGGTGATTTCAGGATCTGGCTCCTGGCCTAGAAATGAATGTGACTGAGTTTATATATCGGGTCCTAAGAATCAGAGGCAGGGGCAAGGGTGAGTGGGGGCAGGAAGGGCCATAATTTTGCTTTATTTGTATTTCCTTTGACATAGAAGAACCATGAGGAACACAGAGTTGGGCAGGGTTGAAAATCACTCAGTCCAGTATTATCAGGGTTTGTTCCAGGAAGCCCTGGAAGCTGTGCCGTCCCTGTGGCTTCACATTCTGCAGCCCAGGATCTTTCATAGAATGGGACAAGGGGCACTCTAATTAATTAATTCTGCCCTTTTACCCACCTTTATACAAAACGAGAAAAGCAGATGAGGATACCCTGATCTGATGAATGGCAATGGTGATGCAGTCCTAGGGAATAATTACTGGTTCTTTCAGTGCTACAGGGGAACTGGGAGCTGGTTCCTGGTTCCTAAGGCTTTGGGCACTAGCAGGCAGCACTAGAGGCCGATGGTATAGGAGCGACCAGTAGGGTTGTGAATAGCTGAGCAGATAGGTGCCGTCACTGCCCATTCATACCACACCTTCTTGGCATTGCTGCATCGCCAGAATCGCACACAGATAGTCTGCCCTTCATGCACAGTGATGGGCTGCTGTAGGAACAGAGACACGGGATATTTGGAGTAGCTGGTCATATCACCACAACTGGGACAGGGGCCTAACAGATCTTGGAAACAATATCACCACGTTGGAAGGGAAATGGGAAGTAACTCAAGAGCAAACATAGTAAATACTGGGGTCAAGGGAAATGCAGGCTCTTAAAGATGCTCACCTTGATAGGAAAAAGAATAGGAAACCAGGAGAACATTCCAGGAGAGTGGGTCTCTGGACGGATACCTGTGGGGATATAAGAACCAAATGAATTCAAGACTCTTCCCCTTGCCCTTACCATACCACGACTGCACCCTCTGCCAGAGCTAAAGAGGACTTCTATAAAAGGGAAAGGATGACAATACCAGTTCCCTTGGTCACCTTTTGAAGCAATTATATGCAGGGGAATACCCCGCTAGTCAGAAGCACAAGCACTCACTCAGAGTAATGTCCTGATAAAGCACGGTCTCAAAGTAGCCTGCAAACCCATGCAGGACAGTGTTCACCTCTACAGGAAACTCCAATGTGCGGTAGCGGTTGTTGTCAATCACAGGATCTGTCAAGAGAGAGGCAGTGAAGGACAGGGAGCCCGAAGGTGATTCAGTGAGGGGCCAGGAAAGCAAATCTATCAAAGGAGAGAGCATGCTTAGATCTGGAGAGAGATCAGAAGCAGCCACATAAGGACCTACCTCGGTTGGGATGGCTAAAGGTAAAGCAAGGCTGGGGTTCAGCAAGCTGGTGAAAGTTGTGCAGTCGAACTACGTAAGGCATCTCAAACTGGGCCTGTCAAGAAGAGGAAAGCAAGTGCTGGAAGGGAGAACAGGGACAGTCTCCTCCTTCCCAGGAACCTGACAGGAAAGTATCAACAGCCTAAGGGACACACAAATAAAAGGAAAGAGAACTCAAGCTAACTCCCAATTTATCATATTTTCTAATATAAGAAATCAGGTATTTAATGTGTTTAATGTTTACTGACACAAGTTAGTTAAAACTGGCTATGTGGAAGGGGAAGAAGTCTTCTCACCTCAGGGTCTCGGTCCTTTTCTCGACATGCCCGGACTTCATTGTACAGCTTAGATGAGGAGATGGGGGCTAGGAAAGACGTATACTCCCCTGGGATGCTCACTCCATCATCTGCAGCAAGAAGGGCAAATGAATCTCCAGTAGAGAAGAAAATTATGTTGATGTCCTAATCGCAGATTCAAGCAGAACCTTTCTTCTGAAACCCACTCCTCTTCCTCATTTCCCTATTCTTGTGCATAGGTCATCCTCAACTCTCCCTCACACCCCATTTCTATGCAATCAGCTGCCAAGTTATCAATTGTACTTCTACATCTGTTTCTTGCCACCCATGGCCTAGTTCAGATCTTTGTCACCTTTTACCTATCACAAGACTCCTACAATTGTTCTCCTTGATTCCAGTTTTTCCCCTCTCCAGTCCACACAGACGCAAAATTGATATTCCTTAAGTGCATGTCTAAATATATCATATTCTATATGGTTACTCTCAAATCTACTTATTCAACCCTAACCTCTCTGCTATCTCATCTCACATCTCCAACTGCTTTTCAGACATTTCGAAGACATCTTGAACTCAACATATCTGAAACTGAGCTCATTATCCTTCCCAAAAATCCTCCCCACTCCCAAACTTCCCTATTATTGCCAAGGGCACCACTATCTTCCAAGTCACGCAGGCTACCAACCTAGGTCTCCTTGATTATTCACTGTCTCACTTTGCCATGCTCATCTGTTGCCGAGACTTGTTAATTTTAGCTTCTTACCTATTATCTCTTGCACACGTATACCCTACCCTCCTCTGACACGTGGTACCTCATCATCTCAAGCCCGTACTTTTTTTGAAAGGGACTTGCCCAGGGTCACACTGCTAGTAAATGTCAAATGTCTGAAACCAGATGTGAACTCAGGTCCTCCTGAGTCCAAGGCCAGAGCTCCATCCACTGCACCACCTAGCTGTCCCTTCAAGCCTGTGCTTTTGAAACAACCTGCTGGTTGGTCTCCTTGCCACCAGGATTTCTCCATTCTAGTCCACCCTTCATTCAGCTGTCAGAGATCTTCCTAAAGAGCAGGTCTGATCATATTACCCCCCATTCAATATACCCCAGTAGCTCCCTATCACATCTAGATCAAATATAAAATCCTCTATTTGGCTTTTATTAAAGCCCATCATAACCTACTCCTAGCCCCCAACGTCTTACACTATCCCATATATTCTATGATCTAGAAAAACTGGACTTCCTGCTATTCCTTCACAGTCTTATTTCTGATTCTGACCATTTTCACCAACTGTCCCCTGAGGGGAAAGCCCTTCCTCATCTCCACCTTCCCTGGTTTCCAAGTCACAGCTAAAATCTCACCTTCAACAAGAAACCTCTCTCAAGCTTGCTTAATTCTAGTTGCCTTCTTTCTAGTGATTATTTCCTATGTTATTTTTTGCATGTAGCTTGTTTATTGGGGGGGGATATAAATCCAGGGTTTTCCCCCTATTTCCTCACTTAAAGCCCAGTCCTTGTGAAGGACAGGGCTGACAAGGACACATTCTCCTAAATCTTGGGCAAAGAGAATCTAATCTAGGTGAACTGAGGCCCAGTGCTCAACTACTTAAGTGGTCTGGGTGGAGGTGGGTCCCTTTGTCTAGACTGCCCAGGTGGGGTGGTCTGGGTGGAGAAGAGTTTCTTGGGTCCTAGAGTGACAAGATTAGAGTCCCAGTCTCCAGCCCCTCATTAGAATTAAAACAAACCTACCTCTCATAATATTCATTCTCTCATAACCAATCAGAGTTAATTTCTGCCTGTAGGGAATAACCACTCTTCCAAAGGTATTTAAACTCTGGACGTTCTCCAGTAGTCTTCGGGTTCCCAGAGGGCCACAGATCTCAATTTATTGATTATTTGTTAGCCATAATTAATAAACTGATTATTAATTACCCAGAAACTATGTCTCTCGGACTTTTCATTTGTCCCAAAAATACTGACTGACCTTCAAAAAGCTTCAGTGGCTCCCTCTTGCCTCTAGAATAAAATACAAACTCTCCATTTGGCATTTAAAGGCCCATCTTTCTAGTTTGGCTAGACTGTTTAGTGTGTGAAGAGGAGTAATATGAAACTAATCTGGTCTACCTACTGTTCCTGTAACAAGACATTCCATTTCCCATCTATATGCCTTTTTACAAGCAAATCTCAACTCCTGGAATGCTCTTCTTGCCCTTCCCTTTCACCTCTTGGAATCCCTAGCTCCCTAAAGCTCAAGTGGCATCTCCTAAATTACTTTTTATTCACTTTGTATATACTTTGTAATCACTGATGTGTCTACATGTTCCTCTCTACCTTCCTACCCGCCCCGCCCCAGTAGAGAATATAAACATGGTCCTTGAGGGGAATTGTTTCATTGTATATCCCTAAGACCTGACATACTATAGCTATTTAATAAATTCACTGTCTTCTAGGTTGCTTCTGTTGGTTCTCCCACCCTGGAACCAACTTCTGCCCTTCCTCTGTCTTCTATCAGAAGGCACCTTTTAGGAAGTGCTGGGCTCCATCCAGGCATTCAGGTGATAGTTCATTATCTGCAAAGGAGCCCAGGAGTTCACTAACAATGATGTCCGCCTTCTCAGGTGCTACCCATTCCCGCATGTCTGATGATACCACTGTCACCTGCCTGCCCCACTCTTCATACTGCCAGTTCTCCAACCTGTGAGTGGAAAAGTCATTGTTAGTGTGGGTGCTGGCCCTGGCAAAGGCGTGTACAAAGCAAGAGTATCAGGAGTAACTCACGTAACCACAGCATTGGGGTTCTTCTCTACAGCATACAGCTTCACCCTCCGATCAGCTTGCTGGGCAGCCCGCAGGGAAGCATTCACCAGAGGACCCCGGCCTGCACCTAACACCATTAATACCCTGAATGGAAAGACAAAGATGAGATAGAACTATCAAACAAAATGGGAGGGATAGACAGCATGGGTGTAGTGTGTTGTTATAGTAGTAGTAGTAGTAATAAAAGTGGTAGCAGCAGTAGCAATAGCTAGCCTTCATATATCACCTAATGCCCACAGGGGCCATCTCCTGTCGTCCTGATCTATATCCTGCCACTGGACCCATGTGGCTTCAGAGGAGAAAGTAAGGCTGGTGACCTTGCACAGCCCTTCCCCACTTAAATACAATTCACTTGCAAGTCAGGACATCACCTTCCTGATGTCATGGTCCTCTTCACCTAGCTAGGAAATATCTGAGGCCAAATTTGAACTCAGATATTCCTAACTCTAGTACCTGTACTCAATCCATTGTACCACAACTAGCTGCCTGAGTTAAGAAACACTCACTGTACATTGGTAATCTTTTCCTCTTCTGGTACACGATCCAAGAGACATTTGTAGATAGCCTAGGAAGAACAGAGATTAGAGGTTACTACCAGAGAAACCTACTTCTGGCCTCATTCCCACCCCCATGCTCACCCAACCACTAGCCCTGGTTTCTGCCCCAACCCAGATCCCACAGACCTGCTGGTACTGGGAGTATTTGATGGGATCCTTCTCAAACACTTCATAAGTTTGTGACTCCAGATTGTCCATCAGTGGCTCAAGAAGAAAAAGAGAAAGACCAAGTTAAGTTAAGCATGGCCTAGAACCTGATGGCACTCCAAACTGGAAGAGCACCTTATTTGCCTTCTGGGTCTAGCTGGGAGGAAGAGGTAGGGAGAATGGGAGGGTTGGATTCCCTCCACACAAAATACTTCCTGGTCCCCTATCATTCCCACAATTCCAAAATTCACAGCTCACCTGGAGTGGTGACTGGAGATAGTCCTCATAGCCCTTGGCAAAGAGTTCATAGGCATTAGGCGGTGGACGGTTCTGGCTCAGGTATTCCAAATACTGCAGGTAGGTGCAGAATTCCTTTTCCGAGTGATGATTGGCACCAGTAATGATGAACTGTACTTCCAACTGTCAAAAAGTCAACACATCAACTCAACCTCTATAGCCTTCCTCTTTTCCCAGCACAGAGTCCTACTGTCCTAAGTTTTAAAAAACTCACTCCCAAACCACGCATCTGTGTTTAATCACTGCCAGAGGAAAATGGCATCAACAAAAAGAGGCCTAAGTCATTCACTTTATGAATCCTTAATCTATCCCCTTGAGGCTGGAATACATCATCCCCAACAATCAGCATGGCTTTAATATGTTTAATGTCCAGTGCACATCTCATGGTGGCTCAGAATACCTCATATCCTTTTGCTATTTCTTTCTCAAATACATTTTGGGGTCTCAGGATCCCAAACATTAAAACTTGGGGTAGAGGAAGGAAAGGGAGAATAATGATTCCTAAGCTGGTGTTTTATGATTTCATGCTATGGAAATACTTCCTTTGAAGATGGGTTCCATGAAAGGTTATCAAATTTCCTGTGCTACATTCTCCCTTTATCTCTGGACCCCAACTCTGCAAAAAGTGTTCTTTAGGGTCAAATATGAAAAGCAAACTGATCTGTGGGAAAATTTCAAACACTCATATAAGCAAGGTAGAGGATCATTGGGACACTACCGGATGAACATTACAACTCCTCACCCCAACAATTACCCTTTTTACCTTGAGGAGCAGGAAGATCAACCTCTGGTGTGCCTTAGAAAGGACAGGGAATCCCTTCTTATTGGTCAAGAAGATGCTGGTGGGAAGGATGGCTGCTTTGATTGGCTCCCCAAGCCATCGGTCAATAATATGATTGGATGGGAGGTCAGCACCAACTTCAATAGCTACAATATGGAAAGAAAGATCTACTGAAGCTCAAATAGGCTTTCTTATCTGACAAGGGAGAGTCTATTACAGTCCTGCAACAGAGCAGACTTCTACAGAATAAAAGCAAGCTACCCAAAGTCTCAGCATTAGTAGCTAAGCCAATCTGAATCTTCACACTATGACTCCTATCCACATGGGGCAGGGGGGAAAGAAACTCTAGTTGTAGCAGCTTGCCACACTCACCCACTGCAATCCTCTTGCTGTAGTCACAAAGGGTTCGAAAGTTATGCCACCTGCCCAGAAGAAAACACAGCACAGGGCCTGCCAATCATTATACTCCTTCGAGCCATCAGCCACTGCCCCACAACTTCTAGTCCATTCTTCTCCAGCCCTACATTCTAACCTTCTGCAATAACAAGGAGAGAATCACATACCACATCCATGTCTTCTCCTCCCCAATATATGGCTCTGTCCGTGTAAGAGGTTCATTCCCAATGACATCATCCCGTAGGTCTTCTGCTGCCATCAAGGGTACTCGAATCCAGAACTGCAGGGAAAGAAACTCATTACCTCTGCCTCCAGAAAGTCTTCCTTGATTAGAACCTGATCCTAAACCAGTGCTAACCCCTTTAAAACCAACATGCCTTTCTTGATTCCTGCAGACTTAAGTACATAATGCTATTTCATGGAGACAAATGTTTGTTTATATGTTTAGGTTAATATCTACTCCTCTGCCCTGTCTTCCAATTCAATGCTATATTTCCTGAGACAGAAATAAGTCCCCTTTCAGCTTTTTGATAACAGTATTTGTTTGATGTATCCAATAACTGACTGATCAGTGATCCTAGGCAAATTAAAGAGGAACAGTATGGTCTTTTCCAATCCATTTTATGCACGATGGATTAAGTAGCCTGGTTTGGGAGAATAAAGTATTAAATACAACCCAACCACTGCACAACATTGCCTATTCATCTTCTGGGTCTGGGGAAGGAAATCACTGAAGTCATACCATGGAAGAATGATGGCCTGTGTGAATGTGATTGGTCAGGACTCTGGCCAGGTTAGTGTTATCTTCTTGAGTGAGAGGTAACAGGAAAGCTGGAAGCCCCAGGTATGCCCCAAAATTCAACTCCTGCAACATGGCCTGGAACAGAGACCAACACAGACAAATTTGTAAATGATGTCCCAAACGACTTTTTTCGTTGTGGTGCTAGACACCACTGACATCAAGGTATCCCAACGGCCACTGAAATTTGGGCTGCTCAGGGTGGTACACAAAGATCTGTGGTCCATGTGAGGGTAAGACACTACATTATCCACCCTGCCAGAGTTCTAAAGATAGCCCCAAGGCATAAGTCAGAGAGCCTTACCGCCTCTGAATTCCTTCTTATCTTCTCCACTTTGGAATCAGGGCGGATCCATGGAGATAGCTTTCCCACAATCAAAGTATTCCAGTCTGCATGCCCCAGGGAAAGACAAAAACTAGGTGAAGTATGGTTACTTTACTCCAGTTTCCATTTGACCCACTGGCTCTCCAGCAGACCAGGCAATGGAGCACAGAGAACAGGGGGTTTTCTCATCATGGATGGGGAACACTGTTCTAGAGAAACAACACTAATGGAGGTTTTTTTAACATGGAAACAAGGAAAGTATAATGGGTATCTTCCTGTTCCAAGAGAATCATTCTCCCTAACTCAAGGAAGGAGAGGTGGGTAGACAGGGCTCTGAGAACGTGGGCTGTTCACTGCCTCTACAAGTATGGGACATTGAGGGGCTCCGTACCCCGTCCTGACAGCAGCAGGTCAGACCGTGTATGGGGCCCACGGCGGGTCTTGGCAGGTTCCTGGGTGAACTCCCTCTTGAATCGGGGGTGGAAGACGGGCATGCAAAGGAAATCGAAGCTGAGACAAAGACAGATCACCCCCACCCCCACCCCCAGCAGATATCATTAGCAAAATAACAACGCCCTTCGGCCAGGCCACCTGAGTGGCCTTGCCCCACGTGGGCCAGACCATCGTGCACAACCCACGCTTGAGGGTGTACAGTGTACCTCAATGCCCCGCAAAAAGAAATTTATGGAAAGGAGGAGAGAAAGGAAAAAGCCAGAACTCCATATCCAGCCGCAGGGCCAGCTCCCGTTAGATCTTGTCCCTGGCATGAGCGCCACATGCCCAAACTCTGCCCAGATTCCCTGCACACCTTGCCACCCCGCTCCCAGCCGCATCCCAGAGACTGTCTAGGTCGAGCCTCTCCACCCACCCCCATCCACCAGAGAAATGGTCTCTCCCACCACGGTCCCCACCCCCTCCCCCCGCAATTGGGAATAGTTTTTCCCACTCCATCTCCCAGAAAGTGCGCCGTCCCACCCAAGAGAGGGGAGGAAAGGGAAAATGGGGCCCTCACCCTTGTTTCGCCACGGCCCCCAACGTATCAGCCACTTCTGGGACGCAGTTGAGGTCCCGTCCGCTGGACACGCGGCACCCGGGGGCCCCAACTGCCACCGCCGCCATTTTTCCCCTCACGTTGTCCGCGCCGGGACCCCAGGATAACAACAACCAATGGCAAAGCACAGAAAAAGCCGGGTTTCCCCAGGAGGCGGGAGGAGTCTCCTTAACAACCCGAGCGTCTTCTCCCACTCAGTGCTGGGGAGTGGGCGGGGCGATGTGTGGGCCTCCCTGCCAATCAGGTGGTGGCGCCGTGACGAAAGACACGAGACCAAGAGATCTACCAATCCGAGGGTCCCGCTTAACTAGAGTCTGCTCTTCCCGTATCGTTTTGTGTAGAATACTTGAAACGGATCCAAACGAAAAACTACATTCCCCATGAAGCCCTGCGGCATTCTCTTGAAGAAGTGCTGCTGCAAGAGTTTTTTCGTTCGCGGGCCAGTGGCGCAATGGATAACGCGTCTGACTACGGATCAGAAGATTCCAGGTTCGACTCCTGGCTGGCTCGGTTGGAACAATACTTCTTTATAGCTTTTTCAAGCTATTTTCTGGGCATCTCTATTTAAATTTGCCCCACTATTTCTCTGTAGTCCTTTATGATTCATTAATACACTCGTTCTTCTATTTCTTCAACATAATAAGTGCCTACTGTACACAGAACACTTTTCTAGACTCTAAGGTAAATTCACATCAGATTACGCACAAACCTTGCTCTCATGAAACTTACATTGGGGGAGGAAGAGGAAAGACATTAAATTCATATCTACTTGTCTTGAAGACTAGATTTCACCAACAATCACTGTCATGCAAATTTCTCTACCCAGAACCCCCAAAAGATGCTGCTTTTTCAAGCATTAAAAAGAATTTATCAAGCACCTACCTGAACATGATCTCCAGTCTTCCATCTCCAACAGCCTATTGGGCGTATCGAACTGGATGTCCTGTAGACATTTTCAATTCAATGTTCTAAGACAACTCATTATTTTTCCCAAAAAAATCCTCCCGTTCTCCTTCCTAACTTCCCTGTTACCATCAAGAACACCACCATCCTCCAAGTCATCCAGGTTCCCAGTGTAGGTGTCATCCTCAACTCCTCACACTCTCACCCCCCATATCCAATCAGCTGCCAAGTCCTGTCGTTTCTACCTTTATTTCTCTCCTTTTCCATCAACTGTCTCCTCTGACACTGCAACTACCCTGGTGTAGGCCGTCATCCCCTCACACCTGTCTATTACAATAGCCTGCTGGTTGGTCTCCCCACTTCAAGTGCCTTCCCTATTCCAATTCATCCTCCACTCAGGTGTCAAACCAATCTTCCTAAAAACACAGCTCTAACCGTGTCACCCCCTCAACTCAGTAAACTCCAGTGGTTCCCTGTTACCTTCGGCATCAGTCATGAAATCCTCTGTTTTGCTTTTAAAGCCCTTCATCACCTGCTCCCTTCTCATTTCTTCAGTCTTCTCACATCTTACATTTCCCTCTTTTCATTCTGTGATCCAGAGACAGTGGCCTTCTTGCTGTTCCTTGCCTACGACACTCCGTCTCTCAACTGCCTTTTCACTCACTGACTGTCTCCCATGCCTAGTATTCTCTCCCTCCACCCATCTGCATCCTGGCTTCCCAGGCTACCCTCAAGTTTCACCTACAGTCTCATTTTCTGATAGAAATCTTCCCATTCCTCCTTAACCTTGGTGCCTTCCCTCTGAGATTATTCCCAATTTACCCTGTATGTATGTATGTATGTACACACATATGTAGTTATTTGCTTGTTATCTCCCTCATTAGACTGTGAATTCTTTAAAGAGACTGTTGTTTGCCTTTTACTGTATCCCTGGAACTTAGTATGATGCCTGGAGCATAGTAAGGGCTTAATAAATACTAGTTGACTGGCTCACTGGATCAATACATTATCTTTCTATTCATACTATGTCTTGTTTAAAGGATCAGGTGTAAAGCTGGTGAAAGTTTAGGCAACCTTTATACTCCTTTCTCTATTCTCCTTATATCAGTCTGTGTAAGATTAACAATATCCTGTATGTTCCCTATACTTTATGCTGCCCAGCTAACCCTCCTAGGAGGAAAGCATCTGATACATTACAGACCAATAGGTATGAATGACAGTGTTATCTCTCCCACATTAAAAGAGAGGCAAATGAATGTCTCAATAATAGTGGAATTTCTGGCATTTTGGTATTTGAGTGGGAGGAAAAATTTTAGATGGGAGAATTTTCCTGATGCCCTTGAAATCACACCAGTAAACAACTTCCCATCCTGCCTACCCTGCCATGTCATATATGTATTAAGTCCCAAGGCAGGAAATTAGGAGATCTTGGTTTGACCATGTCACTTCTGCGTAACTTTTGTCAAGTCCATTCACTTCTGAGGGCTTCAGTTTCAGTCAAATTAAATGACCATTGAGTGCTGTGTACAAATCATTGTGCTAGTGGCAGCTGGGTGGCGCAGTGGATAGAATACCAGCCTTGGAGTCAGCTGTGTGACTTACTAGTTGTGTGACCCTGGGCAAGTCACTTAACCCCATTACCTAGCCAAAAAAAAACCAAAACCCCAAATCATTGTGCTAGGTGATGTAGGAGATATAAAGTTTAGTAAAGACACAATTAAGTCCTAGTGGCACCCACAGTCTAATAGGAGACTAAGATCCATACTCAGGAAATTGAAATACACAAGAACACTTGATAAATAAAGTTTGCCAAGCGAAGTGAGGGGAGAAGCAGAAAGCTGGTTATTACTGATGTGGATAGCACAGGATGCTTCAGACAGGGGATGACAGTTTAGTTGGGCTTTAAAGAACAGGCAAGAATTCAACAGGCAAAAGAGGAGAGAGGGCATTCCTTGCCTACGTATTGGCCCAGGCAAAGGAATGGAAAGGGGATATCATGGGGTATTTTGGGTAAGGCTAAATAGGAGATAGAGTAGTACAGTTTAGCCAAAGTAACAGAATTAGACCAGATGACTTCTAAAACTCTCTCTAACTCTAAAATTCTAAGTGTGACAGGAATTTCATCAGACTATTTTGTTGTATTCCCCCCATGGCAATGAATACTATATCCAGCACAAGGTGTATTCTCAGACTTACTTGTTGATTGATTGCATAAGAGACTATACAGAGTTAATCTAGAATATGCCCCTGCCTAACAGCTAAGCCTACAGTTCTGTGTCAGAAAGACACAGTGAAGAGCATCAGTTGCTTCCACCTTTGGTTTTTTTTTAGGGGGAGGGGTTGGTAGGTTTTTTTTTAAATCTATTCTCAGTTGCTCGTCCTTCTATATTCTGTTTTAAAAGGGTGAGGGAAGAAACCTTTCTTATTTACCTACAGAATCATAAGGAATGTAGGACTTTGGATTGCAAGTGTGGGCTGACATAGGGAGAAACAAGGATACAGCGGAGTGAAGAGTGCCTTTGGGAAAGAAATCGTTTACCTCAGCCCTGTAAAAATGGGTGGCAAATGTGAATGCTTCATCTCCTTCACTAAACAGACTGACAGAATTTCAGAGTTGGAAAAAACCACAGTGAGCTTACCTGACTTATCCAACAAGTAGATACCTGGCTTTTTCTTGAAGACCTCCAAAAAGGAGGTTTCACAACTTCTGAGGCAGACTCTTCTACTTTTTGGATAATCCCAATTGTTATAAAGTTTTTCTTTTTATTGTACCTAAATTTACCTTTGTACAACCTTTCACCCAGGACCTCACCCACAACATTTCTTCCTTTGTTGCTAAACAAAAGATATCAATCTCTCTTCCATATGACAGCCCTTTAAATATTTGAATATAGCAATCAGTTTCCCACTTAATCTTCTCTTCTCCCAAGCTAAACATTTCCAATTCCTTCAATCCTCACGTAGTGTGAACTCAAGATCTTCACCATCCTGGTTGCCCGCTTTGGACAGTCTCTTGAATATCAATATCCTCTCAAAAAAGTGGCATCTCTGACTGAGCGCAATTACTCTAGGTGTTGTTTGATGATGGCAGAGTGAAAAGGTATTGATACATCCTTATTCCTGAAAGTCATGGCTTTCTTAATACAGCCTAAAATCATATTAGTTTTCTTGGCCACCATATCATATTTTTGATCCACAGTACACTTGAAGTCCACTAAAACTTCCAGACCTCTTTCAGAAGTACAGCCCTACCTCCCATCTTGCATTTCTGAAGTTGAATTTTTTTAACCCAAACGTAAGACATTTTGACATGCATGTGTCCCTATTAAATTTCATCTCATATGATTTGACACAACAGTCTTATCCATTAAGATCCCCTAATGGGTTATCTATCTCTCCTGCGTCATCTGCAAATTTGATAAACATGTATCTCTGCCCCCAAAACACAGGTCATTGATAAGAATGTTAGATAGCATAGGGCCAATCACAGATCCTTTTTTGGTTTGTTTGTTTGTTTGTTTTTAATTAATCATCCTTTTACCAATACATTATAGAAAATTGCCAGGGATCAAAGTCAGGCTCAATAGCCTAGAATCTGCAGACTCTATTCTCTTCCCCTGTTTGAAAATCAGGACATTTGCCCTTCTCCAATGCTGCAGTTTTTCATTTTGTTTTTCCTATTCTCTGTGATCTTTCAAAGCTCACTAAGAATGGCTCATCAATCATACATCTGCCAGTCCTCTCAGTACCAGAGGATGTGGGCCAGATGTCTTAGAGCATTAAGGGTAGGTAGGAATTCCATCTGTGTAGGGAATTCCCAGTGTGGAAATTCCCTCTGCAGATACAGTTCCATAACTCATCAGTAAGTCAGTCTTAGAGAATTTTCTGAGTGAGCTGACACATTAAGTGACTCCTGTGGTCACATTGCTAGTGTGGGTCAAGAATTGATTTCAGATCTTTGTGACTCCAAGTTTGGCCTTATATCCCTACTGCTTCTCACTCTTTTCCTCCCTCCTTAGTTACCTTGAGCATCATCATCCTATTGGATGCATTTTTTCTCCCCTTTCCAGCTCAAAGATACTTGTCCTTGGCAGATAAAACAGAAGCAATATAAGAATTGAGCTCTGCTTTCTTTCTATTCCTAGTTATCATAGTCTACTCCCTTGCAACCATTCTATCCTTTTTTATCCTTCTCTTCTCCCCAATATAGCTAAAATATTAATACTTTTTTTTGTTGTTATTCTTAGCTTTCCTTTCCAAATAAAGACTGGGATTCATTTTTATCTAGAAGCAG